TGCTTAAAGTATCTACCACGACAAGTATGACATTCTTGATAAATATCTATATATATATATATATATAGAGAGAGAGAGAGAGAGAGAGAGAGAGAGAATTCTTTTGCCTAAATCATCCAGGCTGATGCTCATCAACAAGTGCCCTTCTTTTTGGGAATGCATGTAATGTTTATGGTTAACTTCTGTTGAGAGATGCATGAGATGCCATCCCCTTTATCATTATGGTAATGAATAAACATAATGCTTTAATTTACACCTGGCTCTTTGAATACAGTGTTCTCACTACATTTCTTGTCCAACTCAAAAAAGCCATCTTGCAACTTGTAATTCAGCATTTGGACAGTTAACAATTAAGACCAATTCGAGATTCAAGTTCTGAATTGCCTAGTTAAAACTTCCAAGGAGTACTAATTATGAGACATATTTGGCTTGTCAAAACAATTAGTCACCAACTGTGCAAATTTATACCCATTGGTAGCTGTATTTCAGCCAATGACGTCAAAAGAGATCAGCATTCAAACAGAATTTGACATTACAGGAGCAAACTTTATGCCTTAACAAAAGCAAATTTCATTCGTCATTTTTCCACATTTGACACTTTAGAGAATCAGAAGAGGAACGAGAAATTATTAAATAGGAACTTAGGGAGCTTTATTAATGGCTCATAAAGCTAAAGATGCTTACCCACATCATTGATTATAACTGTCCGAAAGTATTATTGATGATCAAATTATCTCAACACATGAGTACCAACACTTGTTGAAAAGAAGAATTATCCAAAAATAAAATAAAATTACTTTTAGACATCCAACCATAACAACCCCTAAAAAAGAAAAAAAAAAGGTATTTTCAGGAGATTTAAATCCTCTTTTTCATAACCCTATGCATTCCTATCTTTCCTCCACTTGAGATGAACCATTGGTTAGTTACTTTGACCTCTCTCAACTTTTAATTTAATAATGCTCAGGAAATTCATTTTTTTTCCCTTTTTTTTTTTACCCCTTGTTTTGGTCGTATTTTGTTCATATTGTTAAACAGACCTGTAATGAATGCATCAACACTTGTGTCTCCACATCCAATATAGATACAACATTCTCCGCAGCAGCAGCAAGGAACTTTCCAAGACGAGGTTGAAATCTCAACTGAACCGTACCACCCTGAAGTAGAAAAAGGAAAAAATATATATCAGAAAAACAATACAGCCATCTGTAGAAAAGAGGCCTGGATTTATCATGGTTATAAGCACAGCACAAGAAGATCATATTCATACCTTGAAAACTTTTGTATAGCTCCCATTGTTAATACTCCAGTATCGTATTTCGCCATCACCATCACAAGAGCAGATGAGATCATCCTTAGTCGGGTGAAAATCAAGTGACATAACAGTAGAAGAATGTCCCATAAATGTCCTAAGTGAGTAACCAGGCTGCAGAAAAAGTCAACTGAGTTACAGTAAACAAATACAAGAAACACTCAACCAAAAATTGATTCAAGTGGCAATAATTCATACGTCTTTTCCAGTTTGTGTTAGAAAAATGTGAACATTACATGTAACCTGTAGAGGGTTTTTTCTCAACCTTCCGGCTGCTAACAACATCAAAATTATAAGAATCTTGTACCAAAACCAACAATGACAGACGCAGCCAATTAAGGAACTATAATATTAGTTGCAATACAGTATATTTGCAGAGTTTATTGTGCTTACTACAACAAGAAAATGATTATTGATTAAAAAAATGGAAGGAATTAGAAATCCTTATAACAATATGCACATACAAAAAGTACCAGTGGGCAACAGAATTCTTGGCAGAGGTGTGTGCACATGAGATAACAGAGAATGTTTTAACTCAGAACAATAAGTAAAACATGTGAAAGCTAAAACAGAAGAAAAATGTCCACTAACATTGTCAGCATCCCAAACCCTGACAGTTTTATCAAATGAAGATGTTGCAAGACGTGGCATGCTTGGACTGAAACGGACATCAGTAATTAAGGCTGAATGTTCTTCAAGTGTAGACTTTGGTTTCATGGAATCTGTATAAAATAACACAGCCTGCATTGCAGAAACCAAAAGACAAATGAGACAACTTGACAACTTGACATCTTACTCTAATGATAAATCTCAAATAATTGCAAATGTGGGGCAAGTCAAAGCAGGCAATGGCATCTTGAGCTACATCTGGACTCCACTCTCTTACCTTTTTGTCATGGCCGCCACTAGCAAGCAACTTTCCATCTGATGAGAAGTGGCAACAAGTAACTTTGCTTCCGCTTGCTCGAACAGAATGAACTTCTGTAAATGAGAACCCTGAATACAAATTCAAATTCTGCTTGTTAGAAGGCTGGACAAGTATGAAACCTTTGGAATTGGAATTAAATTTTCTTCAGTTGAATGCCTTCACATGATATCACAGTGAGAACTTAGTTGCCCCATTTGTTATTTACCACCCCATTTTCTTAGTCCACCTGATAACCCATTTATTTCAAAAGTTCTGTTGGGCTCTATATAATGGGAAATGTGAGAAATGAAGCAAATAAGGATGTGAATTTTGCACTTTTTTCTATTTAAGAATGTTAACTTTGTTAGTTTCTAAATAAGAGTATTAACTTTTAACTTTTTCTATTTAAGGATGTTAACTTTTAAATTTTTTCTATTTAAGGATGCCAACTTTCAACATTTCGGTTAAAAAATCCATTTTGTCTAGTTAGCATTATTATCCAATTACTCCTTAAATAAAAAAAGTTGAAAGTTAGTATCCCTAAATAGAAAAAGTTGAAAGTTAACATTCTTAAATAGAAAAAATTAAAAGTTAATATCCTTATTTAGAAACTGACAAAATTAACATCCTTAAATAAAAAAATAAGTCTAAAGTTGGCATCCTTATTTACCCCTTTTCTCTGGGAAATGTTAAGTGCTGGCCTTTAGCACATTGATTTAACCTGGATTTTGTTGTAACATCATATTCAAATCAGAGCTTCGTATAATTGTATGTATACCAATTGATTTTGGGTCAGAGATCAGAACATTAGCTTGTATCATACTATCAATGGAACCATACAGATGCCTACTTGCATATGTGACATAAAATGTTGACATGGTGCTTGAAGCAATGACATTTTAAAATATCTCTAAAATAAATCAATATAGAAAATCAATATGCTCAATACTTGATGATTTTAGGTTGGAAATCAAAACATTAACTTGTATTACATTATCCATGGGACTATACCAATGCCTACTTGCTTGCATATGTGACATAAATTTTTGACATGGTGCTTGGGGCAATGACGTTTTAAAATATTTCTAAAATAAATCAATATAGAAAATCCATATGTTCACCTTTACTGACATCCATTCGACCAACGGTATCTCTAGGGTCGGTATCATCATGGGATAAAAAAGACTCAACATTATCATCTAGAGATCCATCCTCCACAAATCGATCCATATCAGCCTGCAATTCAACATCTTTGTCATCCCACTGCCAAAAATGGAATGCCAATGAGAATCCACCCAAGGAACCTTTAATCCCCTACAAATTCAAAAATTATTTCTCACCAACTGATTTGATGGCGATGTCAGCGTGCCAGTTCCATCTGTGCCAAACATCACTAGAGGCTTGGAAGAATTCCCACTATGTGGCAAGGCAGGCATCGAGATCACATCTCCAGGAGTGTGTGTTGATGGTGTTGATGGTGCTGAACTTGGGGAAGGCCCTGCTGTATTTGCTGTTCCTGAACTATTGGCAGGACCTGAAGAAGACACTGGTTGTTTCCTCTTTCTCCCAGTCTGGTTTTTTGAAACCTTAAAAGGAATCAAGGGAAATTATGTTAGGAATCTGCACCGTAATTTCCTTGAGGTTCGCTAAAAGACCACTAAAATTTGAAGAAGTTAAACCATCAAATCACCTTTAGCAAGGAAAAAAAAAGATCTAACTAACCAGAAACAAACAGACCTGATCATTTCCCCGAAAAGAATTTGACATGCTACCATCAACAGCTACACTCCCACCACCACCCATTTTATCCTGTTGATGGAGGCTGGGGTTTGAAATCTGTGATTGCTGATTTGAAAGTGCATGCTGCTGAAGCTGCTGCTGTTGTGGATTATTGTTCTGTTGCTGTTGCATCTGCTGCTGGCCCATTCTTATCTACAAAGAAATTTTTGGGAAAGACAAAGTCAGATAATTTACAGCATTACCATCTAGTGAAGAATAATTAAATGAATAGAAGAATAAAATACAATCTGACAACCAAAAATGCCGATTAAAGAACACTTGAGAGATATTAGTACCCTAATTAGCATGTCTGCATCTCCACGAGGCAGCATAGGGCCACTGGCTTGTAAAGATGACCCAACATTTGCAACCGCATCACCAACAGAATTTGAAAGGCCATCCTTAATACCCATATTTCGATTCAGAAGCATTCTCAGCCTTCTACTCTCATCACTGCCAGCTGGTGATGTCAAATTTTGCTGAGCAAGCATAAGCTGCTGGTGCTGTGGTGACAACATCTGAAGTTGATGAAAGGGTTGAGGAGTCTGTATGAAAGATTTCTGTTGCTGAAGAAGCCCAGGGCGAAGCGGGTCGAATCCCTGAAAGAAATAAAGGAAATTACTAAAGTATTCAAAATAAACATAAAATACTAAATAAAAACAGTTCAAATATGCAAATGTAACTCAAAGAAGGAGAAATTATTACAATCGATATAGAAATTTATTTGTCAAAATGCACTTATTTATAGGATTTTTCTAATTTTTTGGATCATCAAATAAGATAAATTATTATTTCAAAAGATACAAGTATGATGATAATAATGCAGAACTTACTGTTAGTGGCCATCCTTTCAGAGTCAAATTGTTTCCACCTTGATTTGATCCTAAATAAACATCACATCAATATAGATAATTTCCAGAATATCTTAAAAAAAATAGGACAAAAATCAGAATAACATGTAAACTATGATCTCAAGTCATACCAGGAATTCCTATCAATGATCCCTCAGGACCTGCCACTCTAGGATTCATTACTGGATTGATCTCAGTCTTTATGTCCTGCTTCCATATAATTTCAGAGCATGATAACAAAAAAGAAAGCTAAAGATCTCAAGATGAGTTCTATGTTAATATCCTACCGGTGTGGCTCCAGGCAGTTGCTGATTGCGACTTTGAACTTGTGGAGACATTCCACCAGCTGTACCGTGTAACACTTGTCTGAAATTTTAAATCAATATTTTTAAAATGCTTGAGAATTTGGCAAAAAAGAGTTTAATGTAAATGAAGGATCAAACTTCAAATGCATCCACCAAGCGCTCCTAAAGGACCAGCATGCCAAAACGTATACAAATCCATATTTGAGCAAATTCACTTCAACAAACACAACCACAAAGTGCACTTAACAATAAGAATTTTTCAATCACATGGTCCACATTCTTGGAAAGGCATTTTCCATTATTTTATAAGACAAATTGCTTTAAAGGTCCTTACAGTACAGAATTAATGTAAGAAAGGAAATCTATACAAGATAATTACCCTGAAGGCTGGCCTGTAGCTGCAGCTGGCTTCAATATCGAGGCATGATTTCCATCCAAGAGCTGGCCAACATTCTCTCCAAACCTTTGCTGCAAGATGTTCCTCAGATGGTTAAAACCTAAATAGAGATCCTGCTTCTATAATGACAAACAACCACCTACCTTCATAGCTGCATCATCCAAAGAATCCCTCTGAAGTGGCACTTTTAGTCCTTGTTCATACATCTTTGTAGCCAAGGCATTAGCAGTTGAATGATTCTGCCGCAGAAGAGAGTCATTCGCCACAAGCCCATTTGTAGTGCCATTAAGGAGGTGGGTTCCATCCCTTCGCTGCTGTGGCTGTTGAGGCTGGGGCTGCTGCTGCTGCTGCTGTTGGTGCTGTTGTTGCTGTTGCTGAGCATGTCTCTGCAATATTAACTGTTGCATTTGCAGCTGCTGCTGCTGCTGCTGTTGCTGCTGTTGCTGCTGCTGCTGCTGCTGTTGTTGCTGCTGCTGCTGCTGCTGCTGCTGCTGCTGTTGTTGATGTTGTGGTTGTTGAGGTTGCTGCTGCTGCTGCTGCTGTTGCTGCTGTTGCTGCTGCTCTCGTGCCTTAATCAACTGTGTCTGGAACACAAGATACTTTCAGCTTCCCATATTCTTTAACATCAATGGTAAACATGGCAAACAAAATGCAGGATGCAGCAAAAGAAAAGTGAATCATTATCATCTGCAGTGCAATTTCACTTTTAGCAGTATAGGATTTCCTTTTATAAGTTATGGATGTTTTGATGCTTTCAACAACAGAAATGTAATTTCTGTAATTCCTGCTTCTAAGGATTATTATCTAATTCTCTCAATTAGGTTATTATTTGCCAACGCAAAAACTAGCAGTTTAGTTTTCTCATGCTTAAGTCCATTACAATTACAGCCACATAAAAGAAATCCCATAACAATTCAACAGCAATAAAACCATGAATCTTATGCGGTGAGAATGACACCCCAAAGGAAGCGTAGATTAAAAGCTTAGTATATTTAAGCAGAAAGCATAATTATACTGAACCTCAATGTATGATGCAGCAACCTCTGAATGCTTCTCATTTGTCCTCGCAATAAATATGTCCCAGAATACAGACCACCATTCAAAGAGGAAACCCCCAGGTGCATCAATAGCTGAAAACCAATGTCAAAATCAACACAAGTGAGATGTTAAATTTCCTTCAAACCTTAAAATTTCTGATTTATTAAGTCCTGAATCTACTACGATACTTACCAACAGGATCTGATGATACCTTCCCTTCGGCTTGAAAAGCCTGAGCAGAAGCCTTCAAATCCCTTTTTACTAAATAATCATGGATATACACATCTAACCTGTTTGAGAAGATACCATATTCCATCACTTACGAGACAAGCAAATCGAAACTTCACAACATAATACATAAATTCTGCAGAAACTCAAAGTGAAAAATAAATTCACAACTACAGCCCAAATTTCCAAAGACACGGACATACATAACCAGTAACGATTTTCTTACTACATAAAACCCTAGTCCTCAAATCTGCAAAACAATAACCACCATCATCACCAACACCTCAGCACAAGCCCACAAACAAAAATGACTCAACTGTTTCACAGACAAATGCTAACAAAATGAGCCTAACCCAGAATGCTGATATCAACAAAGAAAACACAACCCAAGTAGATGAATAAACCCAAGACAGAAATGCAGTAACTGTTAAACAGCAATTCAACCACCAAAACCCACAAAGACAAACCCTAACACAGAGGAGCTCCAAAGAACCAAACTTGAACCCAAAATACCTAACAATAACAAGCAAAAACAAAGAAAATCCAACCCCGATAAACCCAAATCAAGCCAAAAAGAGACCCCATAAAAATAAATCGAAACCAAAATAGGAACTCAAGAAAAAACAAGACTAAGATATGAATTTGGTATTAAAAAACTTACATTTTATCAGCTTCCCAGTTAGTCTGGGACATCTTTTATAATCCAAAAACTCCCACAACCGCCGCCGCTATGTTAATTTTAGATTCCGAGGTACCGCTCCGCGGTCTGCGCAGGCTCCGTTCGCAACCTTAAAGAAAAACTAACGGCTTTAGCAGAAGAACTAAAGAAAAACAGTGTGTTAGAAAAAGAGGATATAGAAGAATCTATGTTCTAAGAATACGAGCTGACCCTCTAATTTTAGTGTATATATATATATATATTAATTGGAGTTAAAAAAAAAAAGAAAAAAAGAAAAAAAAGAAAGTGTTGGGTAGATGGAGATACCTGCAATTTCTGGAAAACGTTATTTTATTTTATTTTTTTTTTTGGACTGCGAATTTTTATTTGTTTTCTTTGGTGGATTTGCTATGCAGTTCCTGCAGATATCATAATGGCTTTGTTAGTTGAATTTCCCAAAGAGGTCCCTGAAACTTGTCTAATTTACAAATCGAGGACGGTTTCTGTGGGGCAATGCTTTTTCTCAAATGACGTTTATGACCTTCATAGTTTGTGCGAATTACATATTTTAACTTTTGGAAAGGTTAAATATCAATTTTGATCCTTTACCTTTAAGTTTTACAAAATTTTTATGTTTTAATTTTTAATTTTTTAGTGTACTTTTGTATCCTTTAAATATGAAAAATGTATTTTTTTATCATTTCATCATTTAATTTATTAAATTTATCTAAATATATATTTTTAATCCTTTAACTTTAATATATATATTAAAAATTAAAAGACTAAAAATATAAAAATTTAGATAAATTTAACAAGTTAATTGACAAAAAAATTAAAAAGTATATTTTTCATAATTTAGTAAAAAAATATATAAAAAATTAAATAATAAAAATTATGTAAAATTTTAAAATTAAGGACTAAAATAGGTATTTAACCTTTGGAAAGGATGGTGGGGTTGGATATGTAAATTCGTATCATTATACCGCCTTGACGTCTTTTTCAAGCAGACGGATTTCCTTTCTAATGTATTTATGGATTAGCCCAAAAGTTTGTTGGTTTTAATGCTTTTTGCTTCAATATTTTTTTTTTTTGAACTCACCTAAACTTTTGTATTGAAATAGAGCCATACGGCATCTACATAAAAGATTTTGATCTTAGTGATAAGATCAGATGATAGAACAAATAAAACCCTACTAGAGATAATAATCAGAGTAAATTAAGTTCAACAAAAGACAAATATAAAAAAAGATATCGACAATCACATAAATAATCTTTAAAAAACTTGATTTTTACAAATTTTTTTGGTCGACTGTTCTAGGAACTAGACATTCTTTAATCTACTTTTGAAGGTGAGCTCACTCTCCAAGATGCCATAGCAAGGAGATCAAGACAAGCAGCAGCCAATCCTTAATTTCTACTTTGTTGGCATGTTAGCCACCAGATCTGAGTAAACAAACAAAGAAAAACAAGAAACAGAAAAAGAAGAAACAAAAAAAGGCCACCAGAGGCGCCACAAAACAAACCGATAGACCACTCAAAGTGGTCATCAGACATAGGAGCACGAAAGGTTAGCCCCATTGTGCTTGAGAAGCTGAAGGGCTTCGCAACACCCAAAAGCTCATGAAGCCAAAGGCTTTCGAGCACCAAAAAAAAAAAAGATGAACTCAGGGAAGGTATAGTCAAAAGGAGGAGAGTTCTAGAGTAGAGAGAGAAAGATCTGTTTGGCTACCAAATGGTCCTTTTTTCGATGCTTTTTGCTTCAATATTAATACAATATTCTCTTAGGATCATCCTTTGTCCAAGTCCAACCTTATTGTTATT